ATATATATTGCAACACTTAATGGTTCTCCCGAGTGAAGAACAATGACTTATCATACTTCTTTGAATGTCCTTCAATGTTCTATTCTTGAATTTTCTACCATTTTATATATATTGCTTATGCAAGATTTTACCGTAGGAGAGTTTTACTTAAATTATAGATCAAATTTGAATTATGAAATAGACGAAGCTTAATATTTTCAAATGAACAAGTTAACCGAATTTGTTCAAGAGAAGATATAAATCCATCTAATGATGGTACCAAACAAATGTCTATTTCAAATTCAAAGAAAAACCTAAAAGTCCTTATATCATCAATCCCAAATGTCTAACATAACCTTTATAGATGTATATCTTTCAACATCAATTAAATGTTGGTTATGTGAATAATAAGCCTTTTATAAGCACACTTACACGAATAGTGTAATCCATGACCTATTCACTAGACGTGTCTAGGTACAAAATCAAAATTTACTATAGAACAATTTAATTTAAGACACAAATATAATTACCTTATTCAACGTACCTCAGATGTAAACTACAAATAATGATCTTAAGGTGTACTAGTCAAATTAGCACTTAGTGTTTTCTCCCTTAATTATATTATTTATTCTTCTTGTGTACGGTGAAAGTTCTATTCTTTATACTTTACAAAAAACCGTATATTGACCGTTCACGAGGAATTTTTTTTAAACCATATGCACTTTCAAGTTAGCGAAACCAGACTAACATAAGTGCTATAATTGAAAATAAGATTAGACTATTACTTAATGTGCTCATTTATGTTCCCATTCTTTATACATAATTGAAACAAGTGATGTCAAAATCTCATTTGTTTCAGCTTTATTGTTTTAAAATAAAATGTATCCTTAAGAAACCCTTTTGCACTTAGCCTCTAATTAAACCTTATGCCCCAAAAAATATTACAAATTGGTGCTACGATCTTAAATTTTATAATTACAATGACATTATGCTCTAGGATATTCTATAGCTCTATCCAAAAGAAAATTAAGATCTATCCAATATAATAAATAATAAGCAAAATTTGTGCAATTAAGCACAACAAAAATAACAATCAATGTGTAGCCAAATAATGTGTAAATAGAAGCATAAAGTGAATAAAGAACATAAAAAAAAAAGATATGCTGACATTATCAAATAAAAGGTGACTTTTAAAATTCAAATAACTATGGAATGTATCTCAAGATGCCTAGCACAATATTAATATCAAGTTGTAGGAACAATTATATTAATTGTAAGTGACACTCTTGTTATAGTAATCAAACATTGACATATGGAGCCAAATAATCATCACATGTTTATTACCATAGTTGCAGATGTGGTTCGGCCAAGTATTAGCCTACTGTAGAGATAGTGTTAAATATTCACATGAACTCACGTACACATAAACATCTTGACATTCTCAATTAGCTAATCTACATAGAGAGGTCACGTAGGGTGGCGTCATGCTTCAAATTCTTTTAAATGTGAGACAAACCTAATAACAAGTCATTAGATGTACAAAAAAAAAATTAAATAAATAAATGAAAATTATAACTATCAAATGAGCAGAAAAAGTTTCTAGGGTATACCATGACCACCTTACTTTTATTAATAAGATACATGAATTTGGGGTAAAAAAATCCGTAACTTAATGTATTTATTAAACTTGATTATATTAAACGAAATGAAATAATAAAAATAAATAATTAAATAAATAAATAACAATTATAACTATCAAATGAGCCGGGAAAGTTTCATAGGGTTTACCATGACCAACCTTACTTTTATTAATAAGAAACGTGGATTTGTGGTCAAAAAATCCAGAACTTAATAATATATTTTTATTAATTGTAGGAACAATTATATTAATTGTAGGAACAATTATATTAATTGTAAGTGACACTCTTGTTATAGTAATCAAACATTGACACATGGAGCCAAATAATCATCACATGTTTATTACCATAGTTGCAGATGTGGTTCGGCCAAGTATTAGCCTACCGTAGAGATAGTGTTAAATATTCACATGAACTCACGTACACATAAACATCTTGACATTCTCAATTAGCTAATCTACATAGAGAGGTCACGTAGGGTGGCGTCATGCTTCAAATTCTTTTAAATGTGAGACAAACCTAATAACAAGTCATTAGATGTACAAAAAAAAAAAAAATTAAATAAATAAATGAAAATTATAACTATCAAATGAGCAGAAAAAGTTTCTAGGGTATACCATGACCACCTTACTTTTATTAATAAGATACGTGAATTTGGGGTAAAAAAATCCGTAACTTAATGTATTTATTAAACTTTATTATATTAAACAAAATGAAATAATAAAAATAAATAATTAAATAAATAAATGACAATTATAATTATCAAATGAGCCGGGAAAGTTTCATAGGGTTTACCATGACCAACCTTACTTTTATTAATAAGAAACGTGGATTTGTGGTAAAAAAATCCAGAACTTAATAATATATTTTTATTAAGCCTGATTATATTAAATAAAATGAAATAATAAAAATAAAAAATAAATAAATACATGACAATTATAACTATCAAATGAGCGGGAAAAGTTTCCTAAGGTTTATCACGAACAACATTACGACTTTTATTAATAAGATGAAATAATAAAAATACAAAAATAAATAAATACATAACAATTATCACTATCAAATGAGCGGGAAAAGTTTCCTAAGGTTTACCAGAGCAAAATTACTTTTATTAATATGATACATGCATAAAATTCAGATACTTAATGGATTTATTAAACCTGATTAAATTAAACAATAAAAATAATTAAATAAATAAATGACAATTATAACTATCAAATGAGCGAGAAAAATTTCTCAGGGTTTACCATGACCGACGTTACTTTTATTAATAAGATTTCTAAATTCATAATGGAATTAGAGTTAGTTTTGTACTTCTGATTTTTTTTTTCTTTTTCAAAAGGTTAATTCCAATTGGTTTCGTCCGATTTTCACCCATATTAGTACCTCTTAGAATTCAATTTTCAGATTAGGTTAATAAATATACTGGAAATTTTTGTTTTCTGTTTTGTTTCACTTTTATTTTTTTCCCGAAAATAAATTCGTGTTTGTTTAGCTTTTCAAGAAAAAAAAAAAACAACTTCTAAAGCTTCTCTCTCCTACATACATGATTTGACTGTTACAATAAAAAGATTTGATTGTTACAGTAAAAAAATGTCTTCACTAAAAAAACAAACAAGCATCACTTTATTATTCAAAATTTCCTTCTAAAATACATTTTTTCAAACAACTTTAAACATGATTTGACAGTTACAGTATATTTTATCTAATCTCAAACCCTAAACCAACGTTAATTTCATTCTTAAATTATTCTCTCTAAACATATTTTTCCAAAATAAAAATGAAAATAACCCCTAAAACCTTCCAAATTGGCATTATAATTTGGGTATGACCAATACAAAAATATTTGAAATAGTCCAATGGACTGAAATGGGTCCAATCTCGAACATTGTGGGGCCTTAAAGCAAAAAAACGCTCACCACACCAGATCTAAAAATTAAAATTTTTCCACATAAAGTTTGATTCAAAATTCTCCCCCCTCCCTCTTCCCCTCTCCAACGGCTACCCCATTCTCTCTCTCTCTCTACTGTCCAATTCTTCTGTTTCTCTCTCTAAAAACTCAACAATCGTAGATTCGTTCAACATATTTCCATCTCCGAAATGAAGAACTTCCTGACGCCTAGAAATCATACGTTGAGAGAAAATCCTGACGCCGTCACAGCTTCTCCGAACCCTAAATCGAAGCCGACCACGCCGAATCAAAGCAACCGGAAGCTTAAATCGAGCAAAGAGAATGCACCACCGGCGCCGGCGTCAGATCCGAACATTCCGATGTCCTCTCCTGCCGCCAAGATGAAGAGCCCACTCCCTCCTCGCCCCCCGCTCAAGAGGAAGCTCAGTGTTGAGTCTGTGGCGTCTGAGAATTGTGCGCCCCCCGCCAATTCATTAGATTCCGGTGTGAAGGTGAGTTTCTTTCAAAAATTAGTAGATTCCGCTCAATCTGGCTCGCTAATTGTCATTTTTTCTTATCTCTGATTTCTCATTTATTATGTTGGGCATTATTACTGTACTTCGTATCCTGAAGTGAACATGGTTTGCACCACAATTTGTGACTAAGTTTTCATGTTAGGTTGGGATGTGAAGGTGAGTTTCTTTAAAAAAAACAGTAGATTCCGCTCAATCTGTTTCGCCACTAGTCAATTTTTCTTATCTCTGATTTTTCATTTACTATGTTGGGCATTATTATTTTACTGAAGAAATTTCCACCATTTGAGCATATGTCGTTTTCATTTTTGTAAGCTCATAATGTGTGTTGTAACTACATAAATTAGGTGGTAGTTCGCGTGAGACCACCAAGCAAGGAGGAAGAAGATGGAGATGTAGTTCAGAAAATTACAGAAGATTCTTTAACAATATCAGGGCAAACATTTACTTTCGACTCAATTGCTGATATTCATTCCAAGCAGGCAAGATTGACCTCCTATTGATCAATTTTGATGCCTCGCCACACACTAATGACAACACGTTTGTCGTAAATATTTTGATGAAACTTTGTTTTGGATATATGTGTTTCAGATTGAAATATTCGAGCTCGTAGGTGCACCACTTGTTGAAAATTGTCTTGCCGGGTTTAATAGTTCTGTCTTTGCTTATGGTCAGGTATACTTATTTCCACAAATTTATTTTATTTCAGTGCATCAGTAAAATCCCTTTGTATCGCAATATGTACAGAAGTGTCTCAAACACATGAATGGTTTATTGAAATGTGCATTATTTAATTAATCAGACTGGAAGTGGGAAGACATACACGGTATGGGGTGCATCCAACTCCTTGTTGGAAGATGATCAGCAAGGCCTAGCACCACGTGTATTTCGAAGGCTCTTTGAACGGATTAATGAGGTGGATTTTCAGTTATTTTACTTCCCCAAAATAAATGTATATTACGTATCATTCTTATAATTTAGTTACCATGAGATAAACATTTTTTATATCTTCTCCATGCAGGAGCAAATCAAGCATGCTGACCGACAACTTGTGTATATGTGCCGCTGCTCTTTTCTCGAGGTTGGTTACTACTATCTGTTACATGCTCTGATCCTCACCAAATTTCTATTACCTATCATCTTTGGTTATCTATATATTCACCTTGAGCATCATACTTACAGATCTATAACGAACAAATAACTGATCTATTGGATCCAAGTCAAAAGAATCTCCAGGTAAAGCAATAACATTTACTTCATAAACAATTTGCTTGGCGTCTGATATTATCGCATATATAAGTTTCTTTTTGTTGTGTCTCTCATTCCAGATTAGAGAAGATGTCAAAACTGGTGTTTATGTTGAAAATTTGAGAGAAGAGTCTGTGTCCTCCATGAAGGATGTCTCACAACTACTGATAAAGGTTTGTTATGATTCTGGCTTAGTCATCAATGTTGTTGTGAGTTTTGCTTTTATATCCTGAGAATATAAGTCATGCTACAATGGGAAGCCCAGCATTTGGTTGACTTCTACCCTTGTAAATATTTCAGGGAACTAATTTTGGTGATCAACTTTGTTAACAAAGGCTGGCATGTGATTAACATTTCTTTTTCAGGAGATATTACACACTAATAGAACATATAATTTAGGTCCTTTTTAGTTTGGGAGGAAATTGAAGAAAAACTTCGAATGGATGTGTATTTTGCAGAGCTTCGTGTTTTTTGTTCCACGAAGCGAGTTGCAGGGTAAAATTTGAAAATTGGATTAATTTTCTTTATCCAATTTATAAAATTTATTATTTTTTTAATTATATAATCTTCATTTTAACTGTATTTGAAGAGATAAAAAACATAAAAATGATGTTGGAAAGTTGAAAAAGTGAGATAGTTCAGGATTTTAATTTCTTACGGGGGAGTAAAACACAAGCATTGATGAAAAAGAAGGCTATATTTCAGATTTTAAAGTTCTATACCTTACTATCAGAATGCTAGTAGACGATTCCCTTCAATTCACAGATGACAAGTGCTGTCAAATTTATATATATAAGTAATTTTAAAATATCTTGCAGATAATCATGCATAAATCATCTTATGACTCAGATAATTAGTGTGCCATTTTCATGAATACTTGCTGTGCCATATTCTTAAACAAATGAATATTAATTGATTGTAACTTATGCTTGCTTCGAATTGGAACCATTTCAGAAGTTTAACCGAGTTGTGTTGTTCTTTATTAGAGTTTCCCTGTCATCCTTGAGAATCATTTGGTAATATCTCGCTTCTGTCTTTTACACTTATCATATCTGTAATTTTGCAGGGGTTATCAAACCGGAGAACCGGCGCCACATGTGTAAATGCTGAAAGTTCTCGTTCCCACAGTGTTTTCACATGTGTGGTTGAATCACGCGGCAAGGTAATGCACTCTCTGAATTTAGATTTTTCGCTCTTTTATTAGACAACTATGTAGTATGGTTGTCTACCTCATATAGTTGATGAATGAAGCATGAGTTTGTTGTGAGCCGAACTCCCGTCTCTTATTTTATGTAGTCTGCTTGAGTGTCAAAAAAAATATCTCATATTTTCTTTAAAGTCATTTCTTATCTCCAATCTTCTGCTAAATAACATATGAAAATCTTTTCTATTACAGAGTGTGGCTGATGGTTTAAACCGCTTGAAAATGAGTAGAATTAATTTTGTTGACCTTGCTGGATCTGAGAGGCAAAAGCAAACAGGTGCAGCTGGAGAACGCTTGAAGGAAGCAGGGAATATTAACCGTTCTCTTTCACAGCTGGGGTATGGTTTCTGATATTGGTTAAATTGTCATTGCAAGATAAAAAAGAAAATGATTCAATAAGATTAAAACAGTTTTCACTCCGACAAGCAGTTGGTTTTTCTATAAATGCATATAGGTATCCAATTATTACTTCTGCGTACAGTGTCGGTGAGTTCATGAGAATGTATAGGGTTGCTGAGAGTGATGGTACATGAGGAAGTTATATTACCAATTCTTTTTAGGATAGTTGGACTAGACTAAGGTTCTGCCTTCTGTAATTGCTATAATCTGGATGATTTAATTTGACCAGATTCAGTGGGATTTATGGATATAATTTATTGGAGAATAAACATACTTTTCAACGTATGCCGTTTCTATCCAATGGCTGCTCCATGTTTCTATAAATCAATGGTGTCAGTAATCTACTTTAAATTCATGCCAACTTTTTAAATCCTTTTAATGTTCCCCGACTTTCATGCGATTAGGTTTGCCAAAACAAGCAGAAAAAAAAGAAGTATGATCAATGCAAATCTGATTAGAAAAGGCAACTTGAAATTTCACGTGTTCACCATTAAGCAATTAGATTCCTTTGTACTGGCTTAGATGCAGTAATGGATTACATTTTGTTGAGTTATATAATGCAGCTGATACATGGAGAGCGGATATTGAAAATGACCGGCCATTTGACATATGGTCTTTTACGATAACCCGCAGATGCTACAATTCGGATATGTAATTTATCTGGTAATTGTCAATCAGGATGCTGATGGAATTGCAAAAGTTGTTACCTGTGGATGCCCACTTCTTTTGTGAAAATCTCAGACCTGTGACCTACATAACCATTATGCATGTAGCAACAAAGTATTGAGCTGTCTAAGATTGAGGTTATCTTTTTGATGTCATATTATATGTTATGTTTTGGCAAAGCATTGATAGGAGTAATAACTTCTAGTAGGCTAAGCTGCATAACAGTGGAGTATGCTAACACCTGGATCCATTTTATTCTTGCTTAGTACCACTTTTAGTTGTGAGTCGCTGTGTGGCCATAATCACATGATTATCATCTCTATAAATATTATACAACAACTATCTGGTGTTTGATTTATTTCATTTCCATGTATTTGAGACTTGGGATGAGTGTAAGTTGAGATAATTATATTCATATCTTTGATTAATTGGGTTCTCTTTGAGATGTGCAGGAACTTGATAAATATTCTGGCAGAAGTTTCCCAGACTGGAAAACAAAGGCACATTCCATACAGAGATTCAAAGTTAACATTTTTGCTACAAGAATCTCTAGGAGGGAATGCCAAGTTGGCGATGATATGTGCCATTTCTCCATCTCAAAGGTGACAATACTATCAATAAGTTGAATAGATTAGGTCACATAATTTGAACTAGTGGGGTCCCCACTCTACTGCTCGGATCACGAGCTACAATAAGAAGCTCTATAATATCTTAATTTGCTTATTCCATTCTCCATTAAAAATCAAATTAGGAGAATATCATAGATGGGTGTGTTGTCTGGTGAGGAACAATAGAGTCGTTAGCCAATGAAGGTAGGTGGTGGAGCCATTAGAGTGGCGATAGATGATGAACACTGAAAACAAATCGAAGTAGTGAATGTTCTGATGGTTTGTTGTTTATGGTAAACTTGAAGAAGACAAAAAAAAAAAAAAAAAAACGAAAGTAACTGAGGAGAAGAACAAGAAATGTATGGACTAAAATAGAGCTATGGACGCTCAAGCAAACTCTTTGTCCACCGGTATGAAGCTCTGGCAGCAATTTAATTGAATTGGATAAAATGCTATATGACTAACTTATACCAGTTCTGCTTTCTAAACAATTTTAACATGATCCTGGTCCTGTGCTCAATACATTCGAATACATGTATAACTTTTATTTGAATTTATAATTTTCAGCTGTAAGAGTGAGAGTCTCAGTACCCTAAGATTCGCTCAACGAGCTAAAGCAATAAAGAACAAAGCAGTCATTAACGAGGAAATGCAAGAAGATGTAAGTGTCTTGAGAGATGTGATTCGGCAACTGAGGGATGAACTACACCGGATGAAGGCCAATAATGATCAAACAGGTCCTAGTGGAGCATATGCAACTGGATGGAGTGCACGAAGAAGTTTGAATCTTCTTAGATTTAGCCTCAACCGCCCCATGATGTTACCCCATGTTGAGGATGATAGTGATGAAGAAATGGAGATAGTGGATACAGATGATGCAATAATGCCTGTAATCCATGAAGAAACAGGTGTGTGTACAGATGTTAATATGGAAGACGAAGCATTTGAAACAGTTGACAAGGATAACACAGAATTATCTTCTGAAATGCAACTTTCTTCAGATGTAGAGATCACACCTGATAAGTCCACACATTGCATCGAAGATGCTACAGCTTCTGATCTCAGTGTTGTTCCTATTGACTTGCCACCTGTACTAAAGTCACCAGCTCCTAGTATTTCGCCAAGATTAAACAGTAGCAGGAAAAGTCTTAGGACCTCATCAACATCAACTGCTTCTCAGAGTTTTCCCACTCAGAGTAACTTGAAGGATGAAAATGCATCCATTTCGAAACCTTCTAATAGCATCTGTATGAATTCTCTCTCTAATCGTAAATCCTGTTTCGCATCGACCAAACATTTGGCTGCTAGCCTTCACCGTGGTCTTGAAATTATCGAGAGTCAACGTGCCAATCCTGCTCTGAGACGGTCATCGTTTAGATTCTCTTGCTTGGCAGCCGATCTTAAGGCAGTTATACCAGTTGTCAAAGTTAATATGGGTGTTCAAACCATTTCTCTCGATGAAGAAGAATCTCTATGTAGTAAATGCAAGACTAAGAACTTCCAGCAAGAACCTGTAACCGATGATGATGTCCAAAATATGCAGTTAGTACCTGTTAATGGATCACCATCACATGACATATGCACGAAGCAAGTTCCAAAGGTATGTACCTAGTTTCAGGTGGAATTTTTACATCGTTTTCCTTTATCGATTCTTATCATGTTCTGTCAATCATCTTTCAGGCTGTAGAAAAGGTCTTGGCTGGAGCTATTCGGAGAGAGATGGCATTAGAAGAGATGTGTGCCAAACAAAATTGGGAGATAACACAGCTTAATCGTTTGGTAAGTCTGCCAAGTAGTAAAACAACCTAATAATTGCGTTGCAAGTGAATTTGATATATTTACATTTGCGACAATTGATACAGGTCCAACAATACAAACACGAGAGAGAGTGTAATTCCATAATTGGTCAAACTCGTGAAGATAAAATTATTCGTCTCGAAAGCCTCATGGATGGAGTATTACCTACTGAGGAGTTCATGGAGGAGGAACTCTTGTCCCTAACTCACGAACATAAGGTATAACACACACACACATATTTATAAATGTCAACTGGATTATTGAAACAGTTTTGTTAATTCATCGAGATGTTATATCTTATTTGCAGATTCTTAGGGAACAATATGATAACCATCCAGATGTTCTGAGAACAAAAATTGAATTAAAAAGAGTTCAAGATGAACTGGAAAGATATCAAAATTTCTTTGACTTGGGTGAGAGAGAAGTTCTGTCGGAAGAAGTACAAGACTTAAGAACTCAGCTGCAATTTTATGTGGATTCGTCAACCAAGAATGTGAAAAGACAACCCCCTCTCCTAGAGCTTTCTTCTCCTCAAGATCCAAGTGTGGCTCCCGCTTTATCCACTACTTGCCATATAACTGAGAGTGCTGAGGAGAGATTTCAACAGGAGAGAAACCAGTGGACTGAAACAGAGAGCAAATGGATTTCCCTTGTGGAAGAACTCAGAATGGAACTCGAATCCAACCGATCCGTTGCTCAGAGACAAAAGCAAGAGCTGGATATTGAAAAGAAGTGTTGTGACGAACTTAAAGAAGCAATGCAGATGGCAATGGAAGGCCATGCAAGAATGCTTGAACAATATGCCGAGCTTGAAGAGAAGCACATTCATATGCTCGCTAGGCAAAGGAAAATTCATGAAGGAATTGATGATGTCAAGAAAGCAGCAGCAAAGGCAGGAGTAAGAGGTGCAGAATCCAAATTCATTAATGCTCTTGCTGCAGAAATTTCGGCGCTTAAAGTGGAACGAGAAAAGGAGAGACGGTACTTGAGAGATGAAAATAAAGCGCTTCAGGCCCAACTAAGGGATACTGCTGAAGCTGTTCAGGCTGCTGGGGAATTACTTGTGCGACTTAAAGAAGCAGAAGAAGCCATAGCTGCTGCTGAGGTAAGCTCAAACTTGATTATGTGCTGCCTTGTTCATGTTTTATGTTTCATTATCCGATGAATTTTGATATCTGGTGCTAAGTTCTATCTGTCTATCGCATTTTCCTGATCTTACAAGCCCAACCTTGCTAGCTAATCATCCTGGCATAAAACTAAGGCATCTAGAATCATCTCCCGCTCAAATTAATGAACTTGGCATGCAAAATATATTGACCGTACTTATTTCTCTAGGAAAAGAAGTGCATTTATTCACAAGTAATCTATGCTCGTACAATATATACTTCCTAGAAATTGAAAGCTTTGATTATCTCAGTTGCTTATGGGCACATTATTATGTATGATCTCTAATATTAGAAGGTAGAACTGGTACGGTTAAGTGGAGAACTTTATAAGATCAAAATAGATTTTAGAGGTGTCATACGCTAAGGGCAGAAATTCCACACATTGAAAATATTTTGTGGTTTTTAATTGATGTGGGAACTCGGAACTTTTTGTTTCAATATTCCAGAAAAGGAAGGTTGGTTGTTGTCAAGAAACTTCATGACTTAAAGGCAAAAGGAAGTTAAACAAAAGGCCTCTGCTACCTGTTAGAAGTGGCCTGTTAGAACTGGCTTCTCATCTGGAATTGCAAATGAAAGTGTCGAGATGGCAAAATATTGTCTATTTTTGTTAGGTGTGACCACTCTCTATTTCGAACTAAACGTGTCATTAAAAAAAAAAACTTGCATAGGATCGCTAAAGCAATTAAAGAAATGCATGTTTGGCATGAGTCGGATTCAAATAAATTTTCAAGTTACTGTATTATACTGATTGGTTCATAAAAGGAACCACGTGGCATGTTATACTTATATTTTGATATTCAATCAGTTTCTGGCACTGATTTTTATATTCCTAACAAAATTGAAATGATCTTGCTTTCTGAATATTGCATTAATGTGTTCTGCGAAACGTTTTTCCTTGTTGGTTCTAATCAAAGATCAACTATCTTCTTTTTATTTGAAATTAATTAAAAAAAACGTGGAAGTAAGAAACTGATGTTTGGTTTGATAAACATGCAGAAACGAGCAATAGTGGCAGAGGTGGAGACTGAAAATGCATACAAAGAGATGGAAAAACTGAATAAGTTGCTTGTAGCCTCTCACATGCGTAAAGAGGAGGAATATGGTGGTGCTGAGGGTGAGGGGACAGGTGGCGGCGATCAACAATGGCGAGAGGAATTTGCGCCATCTTATGATGGTGTTGAAGACGAAGAGCCTTCTTCATGGTTCTCTGGTTACGACCGTTGCAACATTTAATAATAAATAAATAAATAAAAACACAATTGTTAGATATTGTTGTGACATTATATGTATGTGTGGACCATTGTTGTATGTTGTAATACAGGTTCTCATGTATGCAAAAAAGCAAAATCTAGAGTTCTCCTTTTCTTATGTTGTTGTTTCCTTGTACTGAAATCCATGTTCATAACATAGCAAATCTGATTTCTTTTTCATATTGTCAAGAAATTGTATTATGATATTGAAAAGCAATAATAATGTATGTTTGTGTATGTATAATGTATGTATAGTTGTGGATAAGGGTGGGGACCGAATGAAAGATAAATATGGTGAGAGACAAATGGGACATATGTTGAGAGATATGCAAAAAACGAAGATGATGATATGATAGTGATTATTTATTTGTTTGGTTTTGGTGCCAAGAGGATAGGGGGCAATTTTCAAGTGGCTCACACCAATAGACAAGTCCACAACTTGAGTTAACTTTCCTGTGTCAAACTCTCTCTCTCTCTCTCTCTCTCTCTCTCTCTCTATTATATTATATGTATGTATATATCATTTCAGACCATAAAACAGCTAGCTTGTGCCATTGTCTTCTCCTGACATCTCTCTCTCTCTCTCTCTCTCTCTCTCTCTCTCTCTCTCTCTCTCTCTCTCTCTCTCTCTCTCTCTCTCTCTCTCTCTCTCTCTCTCTCTCTCTCTGTGTCCTTGTGGACCAGAAAAGCATATTATTTTAGATTTAAAGAAGAGAAGATAGAACAGAAGAGAAGAGAAGTAATTAAGTAGGAGTCCATCCCCAGCCATTCAACAAATATCCATTTTTCCGTTATTCTCGGAATAGTAGAAAACAAGTAGCCTTTTTATGGGTCCGAAAGTGACTTTGATTCAATCTAAACAACCATTTCCATTGGTTCACAACTTCTTTTACTCTATCTCTAACATGTTCTTTACCTAAAAACTACACTCGATTTTTCTTTGGTTTATTGAATTCTACATTTTATATATAACTTTGATTGGAGTTTGGACTTTGAGATAGAAATATTGATTTTATTTTTAGTGCAAATGAAACCTCTTTTAAGAATGAGTCCACAATGGTTTGCCTTGCCTAAAGTTGTAACTGACACTAATCCTGCCTTTTTTGTTTTCTTCGCATTCGCCTTTTTAGATAGCCTTCTCCATACTTTTGTTTTTCCAAAACAGTCCCGTAATAATACATTTGGTCTCACTTTAATCCCTAATCTTTAAATTGCATGCTCACCTCCTAAAATTGTACCAATGTGATCCTTCTCTCAATGTTCCGTTAAGGACACTTTACAAATAAGTCCATCAATGAATATTTATTCATAAAGTGGTCCAGACAATAATTTTTTTTATAAAAAAAGTCCAGTCCAGAGGTTTGTAAAAGACTAAAATAACCGCTCACATTTTAATATGCTCAAATTTCATCCTTTAAGTTAATCTAACCTCAATTTGACCCCAAATTTCACAAAATATTCAATTTTGACCCAACATACAATTTTATGGACAATTTCGTCCGTCACTGCCGTTGACTTTTTCGAAAAAAAATTTCTTCCTGATTTTTCCGCCACCGGTTTCTGGCATTGACTTTTTCGCTTTTTATTTTTTTATTTTTTTTCTTTAACATCTTTTGCCCTCGTTTAAACTACAATATTGTTGTGGTTGACAGTAATATTAACAATATTACTGTTAAACACAGTAAATTAACTATACAACAGTTTAACACAGTAATATTGTTATATTAATCTCTAGCACAGTAATATTAACACAACAAAAGTCATTATTATTGTGTAATAGAGTACTATTAATTTGTTGACCGTTCAACAAAGGTAAACATAAAAAAAAGCCAAAAGAATTAATATTATTGTGGTTGACAGTAATATTACTGTAACAACAGTAATATTACCGTCAACAACAGTAATATTATTGTGTTTACAGTAATATTACAATAGTAGACAATAAGGTTATTACGTTACTCCGTCAATAACTCAAACAAAACAAAAAACCCAAAAAAATAAAAATATTAATGTGCTTGACAGTAATATTATTGTGTTTACATTTATTTTACCGTCAACGACAGTAATATAATTACTTTGACATGTAAACAAATCAGACAAAATAAAAAAAAATTAAATAACTAAAAAAATAGTAATATTGTCGTTGACTCTAATTGTACTGTTAACGGCAGTACAATTACATATATGTATTGTCAACCACAATACAATTACGTTAATATACTGTCAGTGACAGTATAATTACTGTTAATGACAACACAATTACGGTCAACGTTTAGCGGCGGGCGTAAAAAAAAAAGAAAAAAAAACCACTAAAAGAAGTCGACGCCGGAAACCGGCGGCGGAAAAAACAGAACAAAAAAAATCGAATAAGTCAACACCGGAGACCGGTGGGCAACGCCGAAAACAGGCGGCGGGGAAATAACAAAATAGAAAAAAAAAATATCGAAAAGTTAACGCCCGAGACCGGCGGCAAAAAAATAATTTCTGAAAAAAAATGGTTTAAAAAAAAAAGGCAAAATTGGATTTTTGTGGTCAAAATGGATTAAATTGGGGTTAAAATTAAGAATTGGGTGTAAAGAGTTATGGGTAATTTTGTCATATACATTAATTTTTCCTTTATTTATAATACATATTAAAAGGATGGACTTATTAACGAAAGAGATATAACCCCTAAACCCCTAGAATAATAAAGATGGTTGGTCAGGGACTTATGCCAAAAAACCCATTCCGTTAAAATCTAACGGAATGACATTACAAACAAACTGAATTTCCATATATTAAGGGGCAAAAGAAAAAAATATCTATGTATATTTATTATTTTGTTCTCAACTTTATTTAAATTATAGCTATTTTGCTTTGCCTTTATTTATTTATAAGCATAGTATACAAAACTTAATCTTAAAGTTTCATTTCTGGTCGAGTAAACTATAATAAGTTTTACTTTAAAATTTAATGGAGAAAAATAAATTCTATAGCAAATAATATTCAACATTTTTTTAAACTGCCCTTGTCAAATGTGATATTTTATCTTAACCAATAATTATCTTATAAAGATATATATTTAAGAGTAAAATTTTGTTTTGGAGCTCCTAAACGATACCAATACGAAGGAGGGAAAAAATTGAATAACATTGTACTGTTTTATTCAAAATCAACAATATTATTAAATAATTGACGTAGAGAGTAAATAATATGGTATATTGATTTTGTTATATACGACCGAATGGAATTATGTTATTATCAAATTAGAATTGCGTAAATGTCTAATTGAAGATGGATGTTGACTTAATTTTCCATCATATATATACATTTTTTTTTATATTAGTTCTCTTCTATACCTATAAATAATTTAGAGACAAATTTTGAATGTGAAATGTGCATAAACAAAGTGAAAAAAAAAAAAAATTCTAATCTTTATTTTTGCACAAATTAGTTTTAGGAATATTGTGTTAGAGCATCTCCAAGAGTGTAATGTAAATTTATATTTTACACAAAATGAACAACCAAGAGCAAAAAAGTGAACTCCAAGAGAAAAATGTATAAGTAATAAATTGTTTAAATTGTAACTTTGGCTTCTCAAATTTGAGAAACCAAAACTACAATTTAGCAAATCTAGGAAATATTAAAATAAAATTATATTATACTTTATAATATATTTATTATTAAAAACTAATTTATATTGTCTTACTTGTTTTTGTTCACATAAATGTACTAAAGATGGAATTTATTATTTTACTTAGTATTAATAATAACTAAAATTAAAAAAAAATATATTTATCATTTTAATTACATAAAAAAATATTTCATAAAGAATTATAGATTTTTTAATATTTTTTAATATATATCAATTAACTTATTGAAATTTCTCTTATCAAATTTAAAATTAGTTTGGTATACTTATTAATTAGTATTTATTAGTTATTAGTATATTAAAGAAAATAAAAGTCAAATAACTTTGTAAAACAAAAACTATTAAAGATTCAACATATACTGTTTATAATAATACACATTTTATTAATATTTTATAATAAATGAATATCATCTAGAAACTATTTAATAAAAAATAATTAAATATAATAATTGTGTAAAATATAAACAATGCTGTTGGAGTACAGTGTTAAAAGTAGAGTGTTAAAATACTTTCGTTGGTTATATTATCGATTAGACACGGCCACGGGCCGGTTCGGGCCGGTTCATACCGGTTTACGGTTCACTTTTTCCGGAACCAGAATCGGCCCGTAATATGCACAGTTTGACGGGCCGGGTCGGCCCGGAAAATTCGAATTTTTTTTATTTATTTTATTTTTTATTTTTATTTTTGAAATATTTGATGAATAAGTAAATTATAGGAAAAAAATGGGGTGTGAGGGTATTTATAGGAAAAATTGGGGGGGGGGGGGGGGGTTGGAATTCAAAAAAAAGCCAAAC